CACACTCCCATCTTCTCCCCTCGTGCCACACGTCCCACTAACCGCCTCCCTCTGCCAGCGCATCTCTCACACGTGCCCTCACCACCGTCTCGTCGGACCCCCTCATCGCCGGCCATGCAGCCGCCGGCCGGACCACTCCCCTCCACCGTAACGGTCGCCGGAGGTCATTGCACTCGCCGAAATCTGCAAATTATCCAGAAATCCTAGATTCATACTCCTTTCTTCTCCGATCCTCCTCCGTCTACCTTCATCAATACCTCACCGGAATCTTCATCCGTGGCCGGAAACTCCATCGTCATTCATCGAAGCTCCCAGAAACCCATCAAGTCTTCGTCTGTTCTTCAATCTTTCCCCAGGAAATCGTGCAAATCTTCACCATCCGTTCAAGATCTTCAACAACATCCATCAAGATCTTCAAAGACGCGCCCAGATTCATCAGGATCTTCGTCAGTTTCATGTAACCTTCATCCATCGTTCATACTTATTTCCAGAATTCTTCGAGACTGTCAGGAACATTCATAAACCTCAAGCATCCCCAGATCTTCATCAGATAGAGTGGTTCGCCGTCAAACTTCGTCAAAATCCCCGGAGAGCTTCATCGTCTTCGCAACGGACTCGATTTCCGGAATCGTGCACCAATATTCGTAGATCTTCGACTCGTTCTCCAGAGAGACCTGTCCAACTCCAAGATTCATCAGAAATTGAGAGCATTGTTCATCTTTGAGGAAGGTTGGTTCGCTTATTTGTTTTGTAATTTGGTTTTATGTGTTTAATTGGGGAGAGGTTTAGCCTGGTTAATGAGTAGTTGGTAGCGGCTGAGGGAGAGGAGTTAGAACTTAGGGTTTCAGAGAGGGTTTGTGTGAGGAAGATGAGAGGAACGACGGCTAGGGTTCAAGCGGTGAACAGTGATCAGAAGGTGGGGAAGGGAGATAGGTTTTGTTCGTTGGTTAATTGGGTTAGGGTTAGGGTTTGGGTAAGGCCCAAACGCGTTTTACTGATGCTACTCCCAGTTTACTCATCCCCCCCTGAGCGTGAAAGAAGAGTGGAAACGAGGATTGGGCTTGGGCCCTTACTGCTATCCGCACCCCCCTGGCGTGGGCCCAATGAAGAATAACACTGAAAACCCTTGCTATTTACACCGTCCACATGCCCATTTTCTTTTTAATTTTTCATTTGTTTTTTCTGAAATGTACATGGGCTTATCATACCTGCTTTTCACACCCCAGGATCAGGGCCCAGCCAGAATTTCAACTTGGAAACATGTTGTTTGCCCCCCCCCCCCCCCCCCCCTCCTCTTTTATTTCAATTTTGTTTTTTAATTTCTTTTAATTTTTTTCTTGCATATTGTAAAATTCATAATAAAATGAAAACAATTGATTTTTGAGTTCTTGTTTTTTCTACCACTTCATGAAAAGGTCTAGAAAATTGTATAAAAATAAAAATGCCATTTTATTTTTGTTTGATATTTTTGGCATGTTTTCCATTTAATTGACTTTTTTAATATCTTTTAGTGCATGCATATTATTAGAAAATCCATAAAAAATAGTAGATTCGATCAAATAATTCCGTTCTTTTTTCTGTAGACTCGTAATTCAATTTAGAATTTTATAGTACAAAAATATTAGCTTAATCATGCATTTTCATTTTAATTGCATTTTTTGCGTTGTTATTGATATTGAATAATTGGTTTGTGGCACGTCTGCCTTGTTGATTTTAGTTCTTTCATCTGGTAATGAATTTTGTTCTGATTTTTTAGTATGTTGTGCTAGACTAATGTAGGTTTCCCATTAGATTTTTGATAGATTTTTGTAGGGTATTCTGTTATTCTTTGTCTGAGCTTGAGGATAGGAGAAGTCTTGATGGCTTCTGACTTTGAAGTTCAACTGTGGTTGAACTTCAGAGATAGTTTCTTGTGGTTTGAGGACCTGTGGTTTCTTCTTGAAGATGGAGGATGGATGAAGTCCTGTTGGAGCTTGCAAGGATGCATTGGATTGAGGCTTAGTCTAGGAGCTTGTTCTCTGTTTGTGAGGTTCGAGATCCTGAAGTTTGAAGGGAGTTTATGGTACTTTCCTGAGGAAGGCACTATGAATGACTTTTATTCTTTCTGCTCACCTCTTTCTTAAGTATCCAATGATGTCGGAGCCTTCATGTGAGTTTAGTTTCTCCTGAGGAGGAATGTAAAATGATCACAGTTGTTGAGCCACATGGGATACGATTCCTAAGTGGAGGCCTCCTAGTACTTTCCTGAGGAAGGTCCTATGGGTCTGCTCACTTAGTTCCTCTAGTTCATCTAGGATTTCTTAAGTATCCAATGATGTTGGAGCCAACTTGTGAGTTTAGTTTCTCCTGAGAAGGAATGTAAACTGATCACAGTTGTTGAGCCACATAGGATACGATTCCTAAGTGGCAGCCTCCTAGTACTTTCCTGAGGAAGGTCCTATGGGTCTGTTCACTTAGTTCCCCTAGTTCTTATAGGCTTTCTCAAGTATCCAATGATGCCGGAGCCTTCATGTGAGTTTAGTTTCTCCTGAGGAGGAATGTAAACTGATCACAGTTGTCGAGCCGCATAGGATATGACTCCTGAGTGGTAACCTCCTGGTACTTTCCTGAGGAAGGCACTATGAGTTTGTCTGCTTAGCTCCCTTTCTTTGGTAAGCTTGTTCTGAAGCTTGGAGACTGGGATTGATTCCTCTTGCTTAGGGTTTTGATTAGAGTTTTGTTTAGGGCTTTGCATAGAGTTTTGTTCAGGGATAGATTAAGCTTGTTTCAGGTTTGTTAGGGGTCTTGCCCAGGAGTAGTTTCTTGTTTCGTAGATAGAGGTTTGTCAGGTTAGCTAGCCTTCTCTTTGTGTTGTTTGACTTGTGTGGTGTTGTGTTGCATTAGACTTAGGTATTCATCTAGAGAGTTCTGAGATAGGTGCATCTTAGAAGTAGGCTTTGTGTGCATGAGAAGTCGAGGTGGTCCTCCTTTTGCTTGTTTGTTATTGAGTGGCTTTGCTTGTTGGTATTTGGTAGAGCTGAGCTCCCTTACCTTTGTGGTTTGCGGCCTTTGTGCCTTGTTTGTTTAGTCCTTGCATTCATATTTCTAGTATTTCTTTACTTTGTAGTATTTCCCATTTGCCGTTTAGTCCTATTGCCATGATCCCTTAGGAGCTATGACTTCTCCGCTGCGGAGTTGTTATGATAGACATTAGGATGGCCAACCAGGCATGATAGCAGTAGGAAGATTCCCCTTTTCAGCCATAGTTTTAGGGTGTCTTTTCCTTTTCAGTAGGAGTTTTTGAGTAGCTTGTGTCGTAGTTAGCCGAACTACAGCTGCTCTGATTCCTCGTACCAGATGAGGATATGTAGGCATAGGATGCGATATCCTAGCGAGCACACTAACAACTAATCTTTTTTCTCTCGCGGCTGTGCGATCGAGACGTTCCCGCTGACGACTAATTGTTATCCCTTTCCCTTGTCCGAGTGCATTTGAGACCAGATCGTAGTTGTAGGTTCCCGAACCTTTGAGACCAGTTTATTTTCTCACTGCTGTGTGAGAGCCCCCTGTTTAGCCGTAGTTAGTCGAACTACGTCTGCTCTGATCTTCCATGCTGTGTGGAAGTACGTAGGCACAGGACGCGATGTCCTGGCGAGCAACCTTTTCCCCGTTTAGACGTAGGTAGTCGAACTACGTTGACTCTGACTTTCCCATTGCACGAGGGAGTACGTAGGCCCAGAACACCGTATGTTCTGTCGAGTCCTGTCCTTTTCTTTTCTTTTCAGACTGACCATTAGCGTAGATAGATAAACACACCCTTTTCCTTATAAACACCAAGCGTGGATCCCATCGAGTACGATGGACGTGAGGGGTGCTAATACCTTCCCCTTGCGTAACCGACTCCCGAATCCAGGTTTTGGTTGCGATGACCATACCTTTTCCCGTCTTTGCGAGGTTTACTTCGAGCGTTTCCTTTCCCGCTCTGAGGGATAAATAACGCACGGTGGCGACTCTCCTGTCAAGCCGGCGCCGATTTTCGCAGTAGCGACACGGAGTTAATCCCTATCGTAAATATTTTTATATTTTGCTCACCAAGCTAATAGAAGAAGTCAACCTTATTATGTCAACATTTTAATTTTAATTTTAATTTTAATGATAGGTAAAATACAATGAAAAATACTGCTGTTATTTGATACAGTTCTAGATATGTGTATAACACCGATTATAAATTAAAACATTAACTCTTCAAAAAGATAAATATACTGAACCATTAGATTAACATAAGTTGTCTCATCAATTACACATTTTTAGGTTATAAATTATGTTAAGCCCGCGTATCTTCTAAACGATCATTCAAATTGTCGTCTTATAAACAATCATTAAATATTCATTTTGATTATCATTTAAAGTCCCTATACTTCAACAGACGTGCATATTGTTTACTAAGACAATTTTGAATTAGCTCACACATTAATGATTAAAGATTTTGAGATTTTGATTAAACCATTAGTAAATTTTAGCCTTGGATTACTATGTAAAAATATCTCAAGAATTTGTGGGATTAAAACATTCTGTCTAAGTATAGCAAGCGAATTAAGTTACCAAAAACAACAAAAACGAAGGAAGAGGTAACTAAAATCATTAGTCCCACGCATGCCAATCAAGTAGGTGTTGCTAACAAGAAGAGAAGAAATAAAGGACTAGCTAAAATCAGGAATGAAACCATTTAAACAAAAATGAAATGGTGTAAGAATCGCCATTTTGTTAATCTCTCAAGACAATACATAAATGTGCTTAATGAATCGAATGAATCTGCCGGAGCTGTAAATCAGATATATTGTGAATTAATTACGTATGAAAAATAATGAAGCTGCAATCTCCCATTATTCCTGAAAAGTAGACCTATATCCAATTCCAATTTTGCCTGAAATAATCTCTGATCGTCATGAATGACAGGCAGTGTTTCACCACAAAATCCATGCCGCAAGGTTTCGGATGAGTAATCAAACTCTCTGGTCCTGTTATGTAGCCGATACAGCTTCAATGGCACTTCCTAGCGGCCAAGCTGCCTCAACAAGGGCATCTTCGTATTTAACTTTCTTTACCAATGTAATCTCTTGCCAGGGATATATGCCTGCAAACAAGTGAAATAAATAAGTGCAGGAAGATGGGTTACAAAGACTTTGTAGAAACATTGTCATGCATAACTATCCAAACTTTAGAATAAAACCTACCAAACCCATCAACAAGCAATGTACACTGATAAACAAGATCCATGCAAAGATATGGAAGGTTCCCCTCTTCAACTCGTGGATAAGTGGATTTGGCATTCTTGAATTTCGTTTGACAAGCCTGCTTGGCAGCTTCTTCAAAATCCATAGGATGAACTATTGCAACTGGTTTGTTTGGATCAGCAAAACCAGCCTGTGAATAAGTAAAGTGATAAGATGGGCAATGCAGTAGAATTAGAAGCAATGTAGTCAATTATTCCAAGGACCATTACATGATAAAGTAATTACCTCAGCAGCCCGGTCAAAGAAAAATGAGGCAACAAAGAGGTTTTTCTGTCCATCCCCACCTCCACCATTCCATATCCCGCCAAAAGTGCACTTCATATGTGTACACGATGACTCGTTGACTTTGAGAGCCTTGAGAGCGACGCTTTTGCATTCATTTAAGCTTGCTCCAGAGGACGATGCCTTATATTTCTTTCCTCCATAGTTGTAAGATCCTACGTAGTTTACAAGATCCATTTGTCATCAGAACTTTAAGACAGGAAAATGCATATAAAAAATCTATTTGTTCGGAGCTCTTTTTCTGTATCAACTCAATCAAAAGAGCTGAAATGCAACTCAGTCAAAATAGTACCAGGCATACAGAAAGGGTAACTCAATCAAAGTAGAAGTGGACATACGGAGGGGTTGTAATTACCATCATAGCCAGATAAGATACACGGGTTTTCAGCATCACCGGAAACCTTTAAAATCTCTGCACGAGCAGCTAGTAAACCATAGCGCAAGTAACTGAAAGCAAGAAGTAAAAAAATCTATTAGTCAGCTAAAAAAGATCTATTGATGGGAACCCAAAATACTGTCATGAAAAATACTGCAAAGTATAAGTATCGACTAGGTTCATGAGCTAATGCTACTAAAGGCTTAAGGCTGTAAACAGAAAGAAAAAAAGAAGAAAAAAAAAGACATTTATTAGCATTTCAAGTAAGTAGAAAAACCTGTGAACATAGAGGTAATATTTTCTTCCCCTCAGGAACATCTCCTTGACATATGGATCATCTCCATCCTTTACTTTTGGAGCCATGGCAGCATCAGACTCAGAGATGGCATATGCCATTTGAATAATCTTTTCCCAAGTTTCCCAATAGATAGTTAATGGTGACCTATTATAAAACAAGACAAGGTAACACAAACATACTGCATCAGCTCTTTTGAGGGGAGAAAACACCATTTTTTATTCTGTTACTAAGAATTATTAGTTCATGTGGATGCTTTTAACTATTAAACTATGGACCAAAACAAATGCTTTCTACCAGTGTGAATTAGTGGCTAGGAAAAGCTATTGGAGAATATATTCAGTATATAACTTCAAAGAAAATATAGGATTTCTAACTTTCTAGTGTTCTGATGACCATTCTTTAGATTTTTTAGTAACTTGTATTTTTATGATATATCTAAGCATTGCTCATACCCTCCTCCTCATCAAATAGAAAAAACAAAATTCAATTATGCTAAAGAAAACTGTAGGTGAAGGAATTTTGTATATGCAAGGGAACCTCAAGCTTTTCATTGTTGAACTGATTAGGACAAAATTTCATCCAGAGGAACAATTTGCAACTGTCAAAATGAATCATTATTTATTCAAATATTTGGCTATTTTGCATTGTGGTAGGAATATAATCAAATCTTTGGAATCTAACAATAAGGAACAAGAAACAAGCCGACGCCTTATCTCTTTCAGAGTTCAGATCATCCATGTTTTACAATAAAACTAAATATGCACAGCTTCTTAAAAAAGCAATAGTTGCACAGCTTCTTAAGCCATTGAAATTGAGAAAGACAAAGCAACAGTTACCGCTTGCAATATCTTTTCAGATGCATCCCCTTCCAAAGATCTCAAACCTGCAGTTGCATTCATCACCATACAAATTCAATTCAGTTTTTTTCAAAGAAACTAAAAGGTAAAAACAACACACAAACAAATCACAAATGCAATGCCACACAAAAACACACACCCCAACTCGAACTGGTGTCTTCGATCTCAATTCCCGAGGAACAACACTCTCAGCTTTGTCTAAGAGCGAAATCAGAGATTCCGCTGCTTGCTTCGGATTCTTAGCATACGCACTTAAACCTGGTTTCATCTCATCCAACATTGAACCCAAACCTTTAACCAAGCCATTAAACCTGATTGCTGGAGAAAGGCCATGGATGTCGAGTTACTTGCTCTTGCAGAAAACCAAACTTGGACTGTGGTTGATCTATCTCATGGCAAAATTTCCATTGGATGTAGATGGATCTATAAAATTAGACACAAGGCAGATGGTTCTATAGAAAGGTACAAAGCAAGATTGGTGGCAAACGGGTATACACAAATGGAAGGCATTAACTACTTTGATACCATCATCATAGACAAAGGAAGTGCTATTGAACCTCATGTTAGATAAGGATTTACTTCTCCCAGAAAGAAAAGCCCCCTTCTCTTGTTACGCTTCTGGTCTCAGGTTCCCGAAGAAAAGCTTTTTCCTTATCAAATTTACTTGGTATAGGCTTAATATTCTTTTTAAGACTACCATGTTCCAATTGATTGTGTCCCATATCTGTAACCTGGCCCTCTGTTACTTGTTTCCCAGAAAGCCATGCCTGAAGCATATTTTCTGTCTTTGGCTCAGGAAGGAAACCTTTCTCTTGCATTTCTATATAGTATTTGTATGCTTCCTCTACCTTACAATTCAGAAACAGGCCATGAATCAGTACAATATACGAGCTACGATCATGGCCGATTCCATCTTCTCTCATTGCATTCCATATCTTATTGACTTCATCAAGCTGCCGCCACCGGCAAAACTTCCTTATCAACATTATATAAGTCTCAATAGTTCGGTTGCACCCATGCTCTTTCATTTTGTCTAAAAGCTCAAATACTTCTTCTTTGACTCTTAATATTCGGAAGAAAGCGTGAAAAGTCCGAATAGACGGGGATATGTGTCGCTTCAACATCTCATCGAAAATTTCTTTAGCTTCATCAATTTTGCGGTTTTTGCAGAGCGGCTTGATTAGGGAGTTGTAAGTAATGGCATCTGGAGTGACATTGTTGTCTTCCATTGTTCCAATAAGATTTATAGCTTCTTTCACAAGCCTATTCTTCGCAAGAGAAAAAATGACCGCGTTATAAACCTTCCTATCAGGAGTGATATTCTTTTTCTTCATTTGTTCAAACAGCTGGAGCACCCTATAAAGTTTAGAAGATTTTGAATAGCAAGATATGATACTCGCATAGGAGACAACATCGTGTTTGATTCCTCTCTTACTCATTTCCTCCCAAATCCTTTCTGCATTGCGCGTGCTAACAATCAAATTGCACCATCCATTAAGAATGATGTTGAAGCTTTTGGTGTCAGGTGGGAAAACATTTTTGTTACAGAACAATAAGTGCTCAGCGTCTTGCACATTCTTGTATCGGCAAAGCGCAGAAAGAAGGCCTTGAAATTCATATAATCCAACTTGAATGTTAAACCGTTTAAAAGCATAGAAAGTGTTTATAGCCCTTCCAACATCATGAACAGCACAGTATTTCCTTATCATAATCAAGAGAGTTTGTGAAGTCACAAGAGATTGACCAGTTCTCTTTCCTCTCATTTCTTCGATTAATGCCCAAGCAGTATCAAACCTCCTCATTTTACCCAGGATAGATATCATTGAATGGTATTCGCGAACCGAATGAGCATACTCCGGTTGCTTTCCAGCCCACAAGAAAAAAGTGAAAGCCGCTTCCCAATCATTGCGAATTCTGGAAAGAACCTCAACAACCAACTCTGATGATGCCTTAACACTGCAATCCTCAAGCTTCTGCTTAATTTCATGTGGTCCAGAACCCGGTTCGTGAATTATATCCATAATCGTCTTAACATCTTGGACAAAATCATCTTCCATTAAATGTATCCGAGAACTATTCTTATCACAATCATCATTGTCGTCGTCATTATCATCATCGTCTTCATCACTCAAGGCCTTGTCCAATCCCAATGCAGGAGCATTAGTGGACATTTCAAGGCTTTTGGTTGAGGATTCAGTAGAAAAGAATCTAACTAAGAAACCAAATTTTGGTGGAGCTAAAAGAGTGCCATGAGTTAGATAGTCAAAATCATTGAAAGAACCATTCACAGGAGGCTTTTGAACTATATCACAGTGATTAACAGTGACTGGGTTTTGCCTAAAGCGTAAAAGCACAACAGAGAAAACAGATAGGTTAGATCTGATTCTGATCATGATTGAAGAACAAGGAAATCAATACATCCAGATTGGATGAAAAAATATGATTATTCAATAATTTAAGCCTTGAGCCAAAGGTGTTTGCGAAAATGACTCAAAGAAAAGCAAAGTAGTTGACTAATGCAATAGTTGGGTTGCGGAGAAAATGGTGTGTACAATAGCGTATCCTATAATCACAGGTTTTAAAATGAATGGAATTATTTTGAGAAAGAAAGATCTATTTCGCGGGAAAGTGAGACGGAGATTGACATACCTAGTCTAAGTCGACGTGAAGGACAGCAAAACGAACATTCGCCGTGCTGATCAAAGTTGGGCATAGGTTTTTCAAAAATAATTTATTTGTGTGCCACACTTTAGCGAGTTTATCCTTATATGTGTAAAAAATATATAAAAAAATTAATGCATCTCAAAGACTTCTTCCTCACCACACAAAAATTACATAAATGTTTTAAAATTTTAAAGTTATATTTTCGAACACAACAAAAACTCAATTAATATCAAAATATTTCAGAGATAAATCTCTAAAATTTTTTGAAGATTAAACCGCATTAGACTCTTCTCCTTCCTCATTTCTCATTTTCTTCAAAACTGTTTTTCAAACTCCCTCAATTTTCTCTGCACCAACTCAAAACTTAATCATCAAAGCCTCATCAAAGCATAATGGAACTTCAATCATCAGAAACAACATATGTAACATAAATTTCTTAAGAGAACCTTTGGAAAAAAAATTATGTTGATTTAATATAATGTACATCATTTTTATTTATCATTTTATCTTAAATCCAACTGATCAAATACAATTAAATTTTAGATAACATTTGAGAGTTCTCATCATTAGCTCATTCTAGCACTTTGTATTTCTTGTATTGGAAGGTTAATATCATTCATCTTGATTGGGTCTAAAAACAACACACACATAACCCTAATAAATAGTCTTAAATAACAAGAGTTTTAAATAACAAGAACCATAAATAATAAGAACTATAAATAACAAGAGTCCTAAACACATATCATCTTTAATACGAATATGATATGTGTTTAGGGCTCTCGTTCGATACTTGCCATAATGAAAGACCGAAATCATTTCATTCACTTCTTTTTCACAAATCTGGTACATCAAACATCATTATTCATGTTACATTAATGTTGTTGTTGTTGAGATCCGAAACCTAGAGGTTTAATCTTGTTGTTGTTGTTGTTTAAATTGAGATTGATGTTATATATTGTTATTTTTGTTGAGATAAGTATGTTATAGATTTATTGAAGTTGATGTTATAGGTTTATTGTTGATGTTGATGTAGTTTTGTTGAGATTTTTTTTTAGTTGTTGTTTAATGTTAGTTGTTGTTTAGATTAAGATTGAATGTTAATGTTGTTATTGTTGTTGTTATTTATTATTGTTTTTTTAGTTATTTGATGTTATTGTTGTTGTTGTTGTTTAGTTGTTTTACTTTGCAAAGTTTTGAAAAGTTATATGTTGTTCTTTAGTTGTTATTGTTGAGTTTGAGATTGAGATTATGTTCTTGTGATTCTTTGTGCAACTTTCATCTTGTTTTGTTGAACATGTTAATAGGACATTATAGTGATAGAAAATACAGTTGAGTTTATTGTATCTAATGTCGATTGTTTGTTTCACTAACTCTTCTTTGAGCATATAACCTATTAATGTTGATTATATGATTATGAATGCAATACAGAAATAACAGTTACACTTCATAACAGTCTGTAACAAACTTTTCTTGTTTTCTCTATTCTTCTCCATGGATCTTGGATCCATTATCATCATCTTCATGGATGATTCTTCTGGTTATTTCACCGTTAATCGTTTCTTTGCATTCACTAGATCGCGCGTTTGGCATGTTCTCAACTGTTAGATGAAAATAAACTGTTTAAATTTATAATTCAATATTTTATTTTAAAGTAAATTAAAAAATAAATTACAATCTAAATCGTTTAATCT